TCTGGGTTCCAGCGTTATCCTGCTTGGCTTTCCTGGTAGTGGGATGTACCGCGCCGCCACCACACCCGGGCTAATTTTGCTTTTAGTAGAGATGGGTTTCACCAATGTTGGACCAGGCGGTCTGGAAGTCCTTGATTCAGGGAATTCTGCCGGCTCAGGGCTCAGGGTGGGCTGGATTAACAGGCTGAGGCCAAGGCTATTTTGGGACTGTGGTTGCAGAACTTGTAATTCTTTCCCCTGATTGCCAGCAGGTACTTCTGCCTGCGCACAAGGAAAACTCCTGCAGACCACAGTGAGGGATGCAAGCGTTACCCCTGCGGGTTGAACTTGGAGGCACACTGTACAACTGTGTTTACGTGGATTTGCTACACTCTTACCCCCTGCACTAACCTTGATGCCATGTTACCCTTATTCGCTTGCTACATATTCACTGGCCTAATGTGCCACGACTTTGTTACACACTTCACTTCGATGCTTACCATATTAACGCACTGCATTGAACCCAGAGGGACAGAGGCTGAAGTGAGCCGAAATCATGCCATCATGGGGACAGAGGCTGCAGTGAGCCGAAATCATGCCATCATGGGGACAGAGGCTGCAGTGAGCCGAAATCATGCCATCATGGGGACAGAGGCTGCAGTGAGCCGAGATCATGCCATCATGGGGACAGAGGTTGCAGTGAGCCGAGATCATGCCATCATGCCATTGCACTCCAGCCTGGGCAAAAAGTGAAACCCCATTTCAAAAAAAAAATGCTCAGGAATGGAAAGGCAGGAATGGGAAGGAAGAAAGGAAGGGAGATTTGGAAGGAAAAAAGAGGAGGAGGAAGCATAGGAAAAAATGTGTTCATGTCTGTACCTGGGAAGAGATCGCAAGGGAGGGACAGAGAGAGAGAACACAAATGTACCAAAAAGTTAAAAACTGATGATTCTATACTGTATGATTCCCTCTATGTGACGCATACAAAACAGCAAATCTACAGCGACAGAAGACAGAGAGGGCTGCATGAGGGCAGGCTGCATGGTTGGGGGTGATGGCTAAGGGGTTGTAGGGTTTCGTTGGGCGATGATGAAAATGTTCTATAATCAATGTGGTCATGAATGCCCAACCCTGTGAATATACTAAAAAGCACTAAAGTGCACACTTCGGGTGAATTGTAGGGTACGTGAATTATATCTCAAAAAGCTGTCTTAAAAAAAAACCACCACCACACACTGGCGACACTTAGTGAAAGTCATATGGGTAGTCACATGCTGTTGTTCCAACTTTTCTGTAAATTTCAAGCTTTCCCAAAGTAAAAACTTGGGGGGAGGGAGGAGAAAGAATCTAGGTCTAGGGCTGATTTGAGCCACTCCCCATTTCAACCAAAGAAGGGCTCCCAAACCTCAGATCTCCGCCGTCACGTGTCTCACTAGCTACTCCTCCTGTGTGGCTCTTGTGGCCCCCTGAACCCCTGAGGAATCCTATCCTTTTTCAGCCTGGCCAGAGGCCCTGTAAGGACAGCCGCGTCAGAAGTCTGGGAGGCTGCCGGAATCTCGTTTCCTCGTCAGGCTTCCTTTCCTTCCACACGGTCCCCCGGAACCTGCAGGGAACCATGCTCACATCCTTCCACCCAAACCCAGCCAGACCCTGACAACCATCCCATGCGGCGGTGCCGGTGGTCCTGTTTTAGGAAATCAGGGAAGCGAGCTGCAGGGACATGCCTGGAGTCGCCAGTCACAGGCAGAGCGGGGAGGTGAGCCCAGGACTTTAGAGGCCACGCTGGGGACCCAGGGATCCTGTGTGGCCATCACACACCTGCTAGAAGCAACAGCCCTTCTCTAGAAAAATGAACCTGGCCACAGTTTCAGGGACTCCTGGACCTCATATGAAGGCTCCTGGGGTACCATGAGTCTCAGAGGACAGGGAGACCAGTCCCTGGCAACCCCTGCATGCCCCTACTCCCCCCCGAGTAAACGCATCCCCTCCCAGAAAGACCTGTGGCAGGGTTCCAGCAATTCTACCTAACGCACTTCAGGGTGAGTCCAACCACCCACCCACCCCGCCCTGGCATTTCAATCTCCTCAGCTACTCAAGGAGTGGAATCACAATCCCAGTTGGTAGGAATTTGAGTTCTTATCCTGTGCCTCTGCTGGGCTCCAAGCAATCCTGGAGGCAGGCCTCCATGCCCCCATTTCACAGGTGAGGAAACTGAGGCACACAGAAAGACAATCCTAGCAAGCAGGGTCAGCCTCAGTGCCCAGGCGGCCTCTAAAGCTCTCAGCCTGGAGACCAGAGGTGAGGAGGTGTCCCCCACCCCACACACAGCACACCAGAGCCCACCTCGGCGGGCGATCTCCGCCTTCAGCAGCCCCTCCATGGGGTCCGACTCGGCCAGGTCCAGGGGCAGGTCCCCGTCACTGTTGACGGCGGCGATGTTGGCCCCGTGGCTCAGGAGGTACCTGGGGGTGGGGGTTGGTCAGGGTTGAGGGTCCAGGCCCCCACCCCGACCAGGTCCTGCCCAGCCCTCCCTTGCCTCACCTGGCGATGTCTAGGTAGCCACAGGAGGCAGCCACATGCAGGGGCGTCCAGCCCTCGTTGTCCGCCTGGTTCACAGTGGCGCCTTGCTCCACCAAGAAGCGCACCACCTCCAGGTTCTCATCAATGCAGGCCTGGGGGTGGGAAACAGCCGTCAGCCGCACCTCCGCCAGCCACGGTGTCCCAGCAAGGCAGGACTCCAGAGGCAGCCACGAAAACAGATCCAGGGACACGGTGCCAGGACAGTGGGGAAAACGACCCCAACAGCCTCTGGCCGCCAGCTGTTTAAGATACCCCCGATTGCCCAATGGTCAGGTCCGACAAGCCTTCCGCGCTCAGTGGAAACTACAAAAGGACTCCCGGCTACCTGCAAACAGGAAGCGAGCGGGGAAGGGAGGGGGCTTCTCATTCGGGTGCGGGAACCCCACATGGTACTTGTCAGACACAGCAAAACCCCCTGACCACCCGCAGGTGGCGCTTCCAGGGCTGCGACTAGGGAAGAGGTTCCAGCCCCTCCTCCTTCAGAGCCAGGAGTCCCAGCCCCAGCCCCTCCTGCCTTAAACTCAGCCAGGTCCTTCCAAGGGTCAAGCCTAGAAACCACCCCGGCAGACACTGTGCAGGAGCGAAGCCGCGGGCCCAGACCTATGCAGGGTGGGGGAAGGCCGCTCTGTGCTGGACAGACTCAGGGGCCCGGGCAGGACTCCCAGATGACAGCTGCACACCTGTGTGTCCGGGCCCCAGGCTGTCACACTCCTGTTCACTGAGGCCTCCTCTGCACGGGGCACTGCAGCCAGGGACTTACACGGGCCAACGTTTCTCATTCTTCCTTTAGGAGTCCAAAATTTGGGGGGACAAAAGCCAAAGTCCAGGGGGTTGGGGGAGAAACCTGCCCCAGGCCTTGTGGACACTGGATGGGCCCTGGGACCTGAACTGGAGCTGAGGGAGGAGTGAAGCTAAACTCCTAGATCCACGGGATAAATTACCCCCTAAGTCCCTCACCTCTCCAAAGCTGCCCATCTGGAGAAGGGGGGAGGGAGCTACGAGGGCCAAGAGCATGAGGTCATGGAAACTCGGCTGTGAAGGGGGCCGCACGTGCCCTGGGAACGGGATGAACTCGACTCGTTTATTTCCATCCAGTTGTCATGGCAATGGGGGAGGGGGGCAAGGAGAGCGATGGGCCTTTCCCTTTCAAGGACCTGCCCAGTACAGGCATCCCTGTGAAAGATGCCTGAGGCCTGGGCACCAGGGACTCCGAAGTCCAGGCCCAGCCCCTCCCCATTTAACCCAGGAGGCCAGGCCCATCCCCTCCCCTACTCAACCCAGGAGGCCAGGCCCTAGCCTTCCGTCCTTCAGATGCAAGGAGCCCCAGGCCCCAGCCTCTTCCCCATTCAGACCCAGGGAGGTCCAGGCAGCACCCTCTCAGAACCCGGAAGTCCAGGCCACAGCTCCTCCCTCAGACCCAGGGAAGCCCCAGGTTTCCACCTCCTCCCTCAGACCCAGGGAGCCCAGTCAGCCTCTCCCTCAGACCAGAAGCCAGTTCCAGCCTCTCTCAAGACAGGGCCCAGGCCCAGGCCTCTCCCAGACCAGAAAGCCAGGCCCAGCCCTCCTCCTCAGACCAGGAGCCCAGGCCCAGCCGTCTCCTCAGCTCAGTTCCCAGGCACCAGCCCGCTCTCCCTCGAGACTCAGAAGCCAGCCCAGCCCCTCTCAGACTCAGAAGCCCAGGCCCCATTGCTTCCTGTTCAGCCCTAAGAATCCGGCTCCAGCCCTCCTACTCAGCCCCCCCTCCCCTAGCCACTAAGCCGTGGGAGGGCAGGAATGGGGCGAGAGTACCACCCTCACAAGTGGTTGATAAACCACATGGGTTACCTAAGAACTCGGAAACTGCTATAGCCAGGGGCTGCTGCTTGGGGACCTGCCTCAAGAAGGATGCAGGAGAAACACAGCCCAGGTGAGAAACTGCCGGACTCAAGAGTCACCAGAGACGGTGATCCCGTCCTTGTTTTCATAGGACTTAGGGTTTCAGCGTTAAAACAGGCTTTCCCCGGCGCCGGTGGCTCAAGCCTGTAATGCCCAGCACTTGGGAGGCGAGACGGGCGAATCACGAGGTCAGGAGATCAAGACCATCCTGGCAACACGGTGAAAACCGTTCTCACTAAAAAAATACAAAAAAACCAGCGGGCGAGGTGGCAAGCCGCCTGAGTCCCAGCTACTCGGAAGGCTGAGGCCGGAGAATGGCGTAAACTCGGCGGCGGAGCTGCATGAGCTGAGATCCGGCCACTGCACTCCTGCTGGCGACAGAGCGAGACTCCATCTCAAAAAAAAAAAAAAAAAAAAAAAAAAAAAAAAAAAAAAACCAGGCTGTTCTGGGCAAACGGCATAAGCTGGTCACCCCACACCCAGACCTGACTCAAACCCAGCTCCCTTGCTTGCTGGCCACGTAACCTGAGAAGGGAATCCCCTCTTCCCTGAACTCCAGCCCACCCCAATACTCCAGGCCTCCTGGGATACCCCGAAGAGTGAGTTTGCCAAGCAGTCACCCCACAGTGGGAGGAGAATCCACCTGAAAGCCAGCCTGGCGGACTGGGCTGGGGCGACCTCTCGCCGGGTCCAGGCCAACTAGGTGGCCCGGGGCCTCTGGGGGATGCAGGGGAAGGGGGTTCAGTCTGAAGAGCAGAGCCAGGAACCCCTGTAGGGAAAGTGCAGGAGAGCCACAGGCATGGGATGGTGACGAGGAAGGGGGACAGGGAACCTGAGCGCCTCTCCTGGGCTTGCCAAGCACTCAAACCCAGAGGCCCAGAGCAGGGCCTTAGGGAAGAGGGACCCCGGGACCCCGCTCCGGGCGCAGGAGTACGTCCCAGATAGCACTGGGCCTCTTTAAGGAAAGAAGGATGGAGAAAGAGAAGGGGGTAGAGGCGGCCACGACCTGGTGAACACCTAGGACGAACCATTCTCACAAAGGGAGTTTTCCACACGGACACGCCCTCCTCGCCACAGCCCTGCCACGGCGGGGCGGCTACTGGCCTTATCTCACAGGGAAAACTGATGCACAGAGGAACAGTACAAATTCGGGGCTAGAAAGGTGAAGACCCAAAATTAGAACTCAGGACCAACTTATTCTGATTTTGTTTTTCCAAACTGCTTCTCCTCTTGGGAAGCATAAGGAAGCAGCAGCACCCGGATCAGTGAAATGCACCAGACGGCCGCGCCAGAGGCTCCGGGAGAGGGCAGCGCAGGGCGGCCACCGAGAACCGGCAGGTCGTGCATCCCCCGTCCCTCCCACCCCCCGCCAAGCTCTCCCTCCCAGGATCCTCTCTGGCTCCATCAGTAAGCAAACCCTAGGGGTTCTGGCCGGGAGAGACAGGTGGCTCCAGGAAATGGGGGTGTGTCACCAGATAAGGAATCTGCTTAAAAGGAGGTGGGGGTCAGGCCCAATATCTGGAGACTAGGAGGGAGGAGGCCTAAGGATGGGCTTTCTGTCACCAGTCCTGTCCCTAGTGGCCCCACGGTGGGGTGGAGGGGACAGAGAAAAGTACCCGGAACCAGAGCCATATGAATCGGTCCTGGGAATGTAAGGTGGTCCCGGCGCTGGGACACAAGATCTTGTCCTGAAGTGGACATGGGGGCCTGGCTTGGAGGAAGAGGACTAGCCGAGCTCTGGGACCCCTGGAAGATGCCGTGACAGGGGCCGGAAGAGCGAGCACAGACTAGAGAGGTAAAGGGGGTATGGGAGCTGCCCGAATTAAAGAAGTGAGAGGTGACCCAAATCCACAGGAGGAGGGGGTGTCCAGGCAAAGAAAGCAAGAGGATGGAGAGGTGGCTAAAGCCAGGGAGACAGGGACTTTGGGGTTGTCCGGAAAAACGGTGATGATGCAGGCCTACAAGAAGGGGAGGTGGGGACGCAAGGGAGAGGCATCCCACGGAGAAGACCATCCTAAGAAACGAGAGATGGCACAGGCCCCAGAAGGAGAAGGAAAAGGGAACCCGGCGAGTGAAGATGGCATGGGGGTTGGGGTAGGGAGCAGAGATGCCCGGAGAGGACCCAGACAAGGGCAGGATCCGCTCCGAGGACACCACGTGGTGCAGCGCCGAGAAGGAAGTGCCCTGGAAAGAGCATCCTCGGGCAGCAACGCACAGCACAGAGCAAGGGGAAGAGGGATTGGAGGAAGCTGGAACCTGAAGCAGGTGGTGGGGAAGGGTCTGGGCCTAGCCGTAGGGGTGGCCCAGGCCACAAGCTGCAGGCACAAAGCGGCGCAGGTTCAGGGGAGAGAATGCAGATCAGTGAAAGCAGGACCCGCCTGGAAAGGGGAAACAGCGGGCCAGAGGCGGCGCAGAAGCCAGTAGAGCTCAAAGTGGTCCGGACTCAGGAGAGAGACGGGCCGCATTAGAGGGCAGAGTAGAGGCGGCACGGCAAGGGCACTCGGCAGTGAGAGGAGGGCAGTGCAAAGTGACAATGGCCAGGGCCAGGGAGATAGACCAGAGTGAGCTATGGGAGCTGCCTCAGGTTCAGGAGAGGGCAGGGCAGGGAGGGAGACAAAGTCCAGGGCCGTCTAGAGAGGCTCAACATCGGAAGAGGGGAAGTCGAGGGAGGGATGGTAAGGGGGACTGCAGGGGTCAGCACAGGCTGGCAAAGCCAGGGCCAGTTAAAGCGACTCCAATGCGGAAGAGGGTAGGTCGAAGGGGACTGGTAAGGAGGCCTGGGGCAGGGTGGTAAGCACAGAGTGGCAAAGCCCAGGGCCACTTGAAGCAGCCCCAATTCGGAAGCGGGGTGGTCGAAGAGGGCTGGTAAGGGGGCGCTGGGACGGGGTGTCAGCATAGGGTGGCAAAGCCCAGGGCTAGGAACGACGGGGCGGATCGAGACTGGCAACGGCGGCTCGGAACCGGGGAAGGAGGATGCCCCAGGCGGCGCTGCGGAGGGTGGGCCTGGCCCCGGGAGACGCCGGAGGGGGCGCTGACCTGGTGCAGGGCGCTGATGCCGTCGGCGTTGGTGGAGTCCAGCACGGCGCGGGCGGGCGGCGGCGCAGCGGGGTCGAGCTCGGCGCCGGGGCCAGGGTCGGCGGCGCACAGCATCAGACGCGCTTCGTCCAGGTCGCCGCCCGCACAGGCCGCCAGGAACTCGGCGGCGCGCTCGAAGCGGACGGTGCGGGCGCGGCGCTCTCCGGGGCCAGGCTCGGCGCCCGCCCGCGCCCCCCACTGCCGCAGCTGCTCCCGTCGCCGCTCCCGGGCAGCCGCCGCCGCCGCCCCCGGGCCAGCCGCCGGGCCATCCTCTCCGGACATCGCACCGCCCGCCCGCCCAGCGAGCGAGCGAGCGAGCGCCGAGCCCCAACTGCCGCCGCCGCCCGCCCGCCCCGGGGGCCGCCGGGAACTGCCGCTGGCCCCCCACCGCCCCAGGGATCTCCCGGCCCCCGCCCGGCGCGCCGACGTCACGGCGCTGCCCCAGGGTGTGCTGGGCAGGTCGCGGGGAGCGCCGGGAAATGGAGTCCATAAGCGGAAGTTGCCCCTGGCCACTTTCAGGAGTCGCTGTGCCCCGATGCACACTGGGAAGTCCGCAGCTCCGAGGCGCCCAGTGGAAATCACCGAATGAGGGCCTCCTCCGGGGAATGCTGGGAAATGGAGTCTACAGACCGGAGGGGTGCCCCACGGCATACTAGGAAGCGTAGAGTACCGGGTAAAAAGGGGACGAAGAGCAGGCTGCCCCAGGGCAGTTAGGAAATCGACGGGACAGCCGCGTGGGAGGGAGTGCGGGGAGAGGCAGGGTGGTTTTGTTATTGTTGTTTTATTTTGTTTTGTTTGTTTTGAGACGGAGTCTCGCTCTGTCTCCACTCTGGAGTTCAGTGGCCCGATATCCGCTCACTGCAACCTCCGCTTCCCAGGTTCAAGCAATTCTCCTGCCTCAGCCCCCAGAGTAGCTGGATTACAGGCGCCCGCCACCACGCCCTGCTAATTTTTATATTTTTAGTACAGACGGAATTTCACCATGTTGGCCAGGATGGTCTCGATCCCTTGACCTCGTGATCCGCCCGCCTCGGCCTGTAATCCTGCTGGGATGTCGGGCGTGAGCCTCCACGCCCGGCTGGGTTTTATTTATTTTGGGTTTTTCCCTGACCCCTTAACTCGAAATAAGCTTCCCGAGGGCAGGGACTTTGTCTTCTGTGCACTACTTGTCCTTGGTTCGTAGAACAGAACCTTAGAGTACGTGATCGCAAATATTTTTGGAATGAATGAATGAATGGGTTCACCAGGGCACCATGGG